TCGCCGACCATGCACATGGTCCGAGGTTCGACCGGCTGCAGACGCACACCTGATATCAATGGTTGGCCTGCAAAACAGAGGCTACCGATATCACATGCTGAGAATTCCATACTTGTACCAAAAATACGGTGTTGAATCAAGCCATAATCAAAAAAATCAATCAGTAAGTAAAAATATGTAAATTAAATGGTTTTTGTTAATGACAGTTATTCCAGAATATAAGCATACATATAATTGTAGAGTATAACGAGGAATGTATTTAAAAAATTCGAACATTTATCCACATTTATGAATTTGAATGAAACAAGAACAACAGTCTGGAAAGAATAAGATGGGATCGTCATTGATACGGTTAACTTCTCATCTTCTACCGTGCACAGCCTAAAGAAATTATTCAGTTCATGTATAGAACAATTTTAACATACCTGCAAATGTCACATGATGTCAGTTGACACAAGGCCCCAAACCATATAAACAGTGTTCAGAAAATCACACTTATATAGTTCAAGTGTAAACAAAAATAATTGTTTACAAACAAAATGGTAGAAGCGTTATACAATGAAGACAATAGGAGAGTAAGATAATGAGTAACTGATAAGGTGAGTAGCAATGTGTTGAGTTCAACTCAAGTTATAGAAACAAGAGAGAAGCAAAGTTACATTATGTAAAACAAAGGGTGAAGCTAAAGCCAAAGATTACGTAATCAAGCGAAAGAGTCAATAAATATATCTAATTACCAGGTAAAGGAAAAACCGATATCTGCTTCTTTCTGAACACATAAATTGGGTTTCAGGCGTTAGATATCCCAAGTAAAGTTTAGGAGAACTGAACTGTCTCATTTGTTGACAGTTTTAAAGAGTTTAGCAATGTCCACCTCATGACTCGTATTGATGAGCTGTCTGGTAATGGTACTGTTGTGAGCATTTGTTTCCTTAATATGTAGGCGTTTTGGTACGTATTCAGAGAATCAGAAGTGTGACTTTCTTTATGTCATTCAAATGTAACTGATCCAGTAGGTAGATGTAAATCTGTTTACACAGAATTAACATAATCTTTGGCTTGAGCTACACCCTTTGTTTTACATAATGTAATTTTGCTTCTCTCTTGTTTCTATAACTTGAGTTGAACTCAACACATTGCTACTCACCTTATCAGTTACTCATTATCTTACTCTCCTATTGTCTTCATTGTATAACGCTTCTACCATTTTGTTTGTAAACAATTATTTTTGTTTACACTTGAACTATATAAGTGTGATTTTCTGAACACTGTTTATATGGTTTGGGGCCTTGTGTCAACTGACATCATGTGACATTTGCAGGTATGTTAAAATTGTTCTATACATGAACTGAATAATTTCTTTAGGCTGTGCATAGTAGTAGATGAGAAGTCAACGAAATAAATGATGATGCCATCTTATCCTATACAAACTACTGTTCTTGTCTTATAAGAATAGAATATTCGTTGCTAGAACTTTATTTTATCTCTTATATGTCTGAATTGGAATTTATTTTGAGCTCAATCGTTAATTAAAATAAAGAAACCAAAAGGATTACGGTAGTTTATGTTCTAATACAATAAATATAGTCTCTTTTTAAAACTTTATTCATTGAACTGCTTAGGGTGAAACTGAACTTCAAAAGGATTTGTAAGACTATATAATACTACTTTAGGGTACTATGCGCTAAACGATAATGTCTTATCTGAAATACTCATCGAGGATGAAGTTTAATGAATTTCATAACCTTACCGGTAACGATTATAATCGTTCAGTCAGCTGACATGGAATGTCACTTGCTTCATTTCAAACAAACTGCTGATGAATTATAAAGAAGGATAAAAAATTGAAAGATCTGAGCTGAAGTATAAATTGTATGTAGTAGAAAGACCTCGTACAGTGGATGATTTTTGTGTATTTCTGTAATATGATAAAATTTTCCCGCATCCACCTGCTTTTGATTGTCATTACTCAGATTGTTCTGTGTTGTTTGTTATTATTGTTGTCCCTGAAATCACTCTACTTAACTTGACACACATAGCTTGTTTAATTATTGTAGAGACTGAGTAGTCAAAGTGAGCATATTTGAAGCGGAAGACACAGTCCGTAACGTCATTTGTCTATATTAACTTCCGGATGACATTTGATAGGTTATTTTGTAGGTAAATGAAACGGCTTATGCTGTTTGGGAGAAAATTGTAAAGAGGTTTGACTGTAAGCGAAAACAAATCTGTGAGCAGAAAAAATGTTTATTTGATAACAGTATTATAGATATTATTTGTTTACTGATATTAGAAATTAATTAATCGAAACACTCACTAAAAATTTGATTAAAAAACACTTATAGGAAGTGTTGATTGTAATAAATGGTGGGGGGAAAACTTCAGCCCGTTTCATTAATCTCAATATTTTAAAACTGATCATTTTGATATAAAATTACATATTCGACAAACCATTCACAGAACTATGACTCTTTTGCAAATGAATTTTCTAAGGGATTCCCTTCAGTGTACTAAAAATACAGCTTCATAATACTTGCATTTATTCGTGTAAACTTAATCCCGATGGCTCAATTTTTGTGTCAAATCAGTCAGCTTACGTTTGCATTATATTTATTCTACTATTTTGACATGACTGCAAAAAGCTCACAGAACGTTTGCTTTCAAAGCTACCTTAGAAACAACGCCTTTGGCAACTGGCTGTTTTCAAGAAAGTAGTCGTGACCAGTAAGGTCGACCATATCTGATATGAGGACGAGTACTCGCCAACGATGACATTCGCTAGTGATCACGCCATATCATGAATTGTCAGAAGATGGAAATCATAGGCTGGCCACTAGATCGGGTGCCAGTGGTTTAATGGTGCACGAGCTGACTTTGTTACCTGAAGGCCCTGGGTTCAAACACTGGCGGTGAATGCGTACTGTGAAGAGTCCTAAACTAGGACGAAAGAAACAGCTGCCCAGTAGTCCCAGGTTTTTCAACGGTTGTCTAACCGATGTCAGCTTATAATGAGATCCTGTAGCCTTTAAATTTATTTTTATTCACTATATAACTCCTTAAAAATTAGTTGTTCATAATTTTCATCCCCGCTTGACTAGGCCTGATAACTGATGTCTAAATTTCATATTCCCTTGTGAAAAAAGATCCAGACATGTTTATTTTTCATTGTAGTTAAAAAACAAACTGTTTCTCGGATCAGATAATAATATTTTGATAAGGTAACATGTTACAAGAGTGATTATCAGAATGAAATCTGAATGTCAGTCGACTGCTCCATTACAATGCCTAAAAATTACGACACTACATAAAGTTGAATAAGGTTTAAATGCGCTTTCTTTCACCTGAAATAATTTTCCAGGGTAGGTTGTTTAATCTCTGTAATGTAAGAATAATTGATGGTGATATTCCTTCAACACAGTCTCTTTTTTCCACTGCACGATTGTGTTTGCCGAATAGGTTGGCTGAGGCATATTTTAAAACATATTGAAACTGGATAAATGACTAATAATTAGCTATTATGGAATATGAAAAAATTTCATTTTGTCATATTTAATGAGTTTTTAAAGCGTTTTTTGAAGAAGTCTTCTCGCCATAAACACAACATCAGAGTTTCCGCTCATGTTTCACTTTCATTAAAATTTGAAATGTATCTTTCAAAATGGAATTAAATTTTCGAGTGATTGTTTTTTTTCATCAATGAATTTTCATTCATTTTCAACAATTTGAGGATATATGTTGTTTTATAGTACCACTTTTTATTTTCACTTATGTTCGTTTGCAGTGTTTATGCAGGACAAATTATTCTCAGACATAAACTGTCTGTTAACTAAGTTAATTTTCTGAAATTAACATTTTATTCGGAAATATCACTGGATTGCTTTTGCCATTTAGATTGTCTTCATCATTGCAGAGAAGTTCGAAATTATTTTTGAAGTTATAAAACTAATCTGTACAAAGTGTGGAATTGTAAATTCGGGGTATAATTTCGTTTTCAGGCTTATTTGCCTCCAATACTAAAAATCATTCGATGTTTCAATGCCTAGTTAGGATTTTATATTGCATCAAACGGAAAACAGGTTCTTACTTTGTTTGTGTGGAGTTTTGTAAGTGATCTGTTATAGCCATTGGTAGAACTCAGTAGACATGCCCTTTGGGTGAATCTTTAAAAAAGTAGAAATTTTGCTCCTAACAAACCTAGACATTTTGCTCAATTTACTCAACAATTATAAGCTAATCAGTGAAACAAATTAGTAAAAGAAAATTACCACTGCTAATAATAATTCGTTCCTATTACGTTTTTGTCCCCTTGAGTTCCGAGTGGAACATAAGTCTTCAGGCTTCAGCTTTTAAGCTCCAGTAGTAATGGGATTTTATTTTTAACGGGTAGGATTACAAGCTCTTTAGTCAACCTGTCCTCTTTAATGAGCTCTCTGCCGGCTTCAAGACGTTTCGTAACATATCGACCGAGGATCGAACCATGAACCACACAGATTCTTGTGGACTAAGTCTTATTATATTGCTGCTGAAGAACATATGACAGTCAAACTTCAGGAATAACTAGGCTCAACGTGCCATGAAGAAACAGTCGTCTTTTACTTCAGTAGAATAACTCAGTGAATAGATTTCAATGTGCTGTGTGTAAAAGCCTTAATATTTGTGGGCATTAACTCGGTTTTATCTTCTGACACCTAAACGAGTAACATTTTAACTAATATACTGATTAGAATCACTGGTTCATAAGATCTGATCCGTTTTGCATTTTACTGAAGGTACACTCTGGGCGTATTAATGTACATATTACTCTCATTATGTGTTTAGCTACCCCATAAGAACATTTAATAGAGCTGCCTAAAAGTTAGAAACATTGTTGTTTTACCTGTTTCGTGTATAATCATGGTGATAAAAACATCCAGCTGACAAGCAGGCCTATATTTTTAAGAAATCATTAATACGCAACAAAATATTTATTTATAATTAATGTATCACTGTTTACTTTCCAGGTACAAATTTCAAAATGAATAATGTTGGTCTGAATGTCGCGTATCAAATGCACCTTACAGGTATGCTTTTACCCAAGTGTTATCAGTATTTTATTGAGAGCTCACTTGCTGAGATCGCAAGTAGAACATGAAAAAAGATGCTAGATGAACGTCGAATTTTCTGAATGGTGTTATTGAGCTTAAGTCTGCCGTGGTAAAAGGGTTTGGAGAGAGCACTTCTGTATACACAGTAAAATGTTTCCATCATGTATCGCAATGGGTTTTGCTGTGGATACAAGATGTAGTCGAATACCCTTTGACCGACCTAGTCTTACCATTTGTATCACTTTGAAAAGTTTTTCTATTGATGTGAAATGATTTTTAAGGGTATGGTGTTCTAGAGTTGAACTACTGATCCGTCCAGTTTTTCATTTCAACAACCATACTTGAATATGCTCTTGTGTGCATCTGGATAGTATTCTACTGGTATTACCTATGCACTTTGCCCCACAGTAGCAAGTAAATTGACATATGCGTATGAATGTTGTCAACAGTATAACTCGTACAACAACTTGTTATGTGTTCTGCATTCACTTGGATTTTCCCGTATTCTTTCCTTTCAAGCTCCTAACTTTTAAAAACACACCGTAAATATTCTGAATCCCTCAGTCTTTTCAGCAGTGTTGTTGCTTCCGAGCGCCTGTGCTTTTCAATGGCGATCATTTCCAAGCGATAGTCACCACTTATTGTTTTGAGACTAAGTAACTTATTACATGAGAGTATAATAGCAAATTGTAGGTTGTAGTAAATTCAGCATAGATTCAATAGAGCTATTCTTATGACTTCGATAATAATTCTTATATTTAAAACAGGGACAGGGACACTATTGTACACTCAAGAAAATAAGATCATCGCAAAGAGGATATTTTTTCGCTGAGATCTTTATTTGATTTTATAAATATCATTGTCTATGAATAATTTGATCTGTATATTTGTTTTATCTTTTCAGATCAACAGGCTGTTAAGCTAATTGTAGGAAAGAATCTTATTACTGAAAACTTATTTACAACAAATGATATTTATCAGTCTTCCGTGATCAATGAAAATGATTCCGTTGTCAAATTCATTTCCGTAAGTATTTATCTATTTAATTATATGTGGGATACTTAATTTTAATTTTTACTAAAATGATTGAGTTTTCATATGAATTGAAACACTGAATTGAATTATAATTTAGGGCTTTGCTACTCAAATTCTTGTCTAATCATAATTTTTGAGTTGTAAATTAATGTAGTGAAATATAGTTAACTATAGTTAAGTTAGGTAGTGATAACCACATTTAAGTACTATAATAAAATCAACCGCGAAAAGTGATACTGCAGCCTGAAAATAAATGTAAATTCTTTCATTCAGAATATAACTTGAACATCTTGATATCAGTCACATGTGACCAAAGTTACTCCAGTGTCTCACATTTTACAAAATCAAGCAGCGTTAAGTCTTATTTCCAGATAAAAAAAGAAAGCGACTACTTCTGTCTTATGAGCAACATTTCCAACAGTTGGTTTGATCATAGGCGGTAGTTTTGCTCGGAATATCATCAAAATAAAATTTATTATTGTCTGTAAACTATTGAAATACAATTATAATTTGGAATTAGTTGTGTTCTCTGAGCTGGTCGGTTTAATTGAGAAGCTCAGAGAAGACTGCTAATTCCAGATCATCCACCTGGGCTACAAATCTTCTTTGTTATTTCACAATTTTAATTTATTTGACCTGTTTCACAATGCACAAAATTCTCACTGATATTAATTGTTAGTTTTCACCTGCAGATCTCCGAGTATACGTAACATTTGACATTATTCATTTAAGAAATCCAGATCTTTGATGGTTTTCTCGTGGGTCCAAAGTACGCCCACAGTCTGTTGCACGATCCAATCCACCACAACTAGAAATATTATCAGTGATACTAGGGCCTAATACACGACAAATCAATATCGCTATAATTTATGTATAAACACTTAATTTAGAAAATACATTCTTCAGTGTTTGCATCTGCTGATATCACTTTTCTACCTGTACCTTAAGTATATAAAGTTGCATTTTTTATCGTTATACACTGTCAGTTGTGAAGTTAAAGTCACACTTTTACCAAATATTATGACGCTATATTTCTCAATGTTAGTCATGTATGTACAATAAATTCAGTAATTGGGTAATAAGTTGTGATTTTAATTATATGCAGTTGGGCATCTTAAGTATTCTTAAAAACATTTATCAGTCCTGACGCCATGAAAGCTGCCAGTCAAGCTACTTACAAGAAAGGAAGACTCTAAGAAGACAAGCCATTTTATTCTGCAAAACAGTACGTAAATCTTAAACATGAATGTTATCTACAAGGTTCATTACAAGGGATTGTTTTCTCAAACGCAGATTACCACTGGAATGGTAAAACACTTATCTCAAAACTTTTCACCGAGATAAGCGTCGTATATCAATCTCATCAGTAAAACTTGAAGCACTTATTAGTGCAGATATTTTACTTCATTGTAAATCACTCAAATAAACAAGGTACTATTTAACTGTCATCGGCTTCATGAGATGCTATCTTATTCCACAGATGATAGCCAGATAAGCTGAGAACTTTATTTCCATTGCTGCTGGGAATTGTTTGTCGCACCCACTACTTCAAATATTAAATAGTTAGGTTTTAGATGTGCGCTGGTGGATCAGCGGTAGAATGCTGTCCAACCACGTATGTGGTTCTGGATTTTACTTTCAGCCGGCTCACACCTTTACCTTTCCCTAATCGGTTATAAACCTGACAAACTGGGGAGGTTGAGGGTGAGAATAGCTACCCCACCTAGTAGAAAACGTCACTGCTACTGAAACCTCAAGGCTCAAGCTTCAAGCACTATGTTCCACTGAGAACGCACAGAAATAAAATGGAAATGTCCACAACAAAATGAAGTCATAAATATAGATAAAGTTTAAAGAACTTTATTTATTTACGTGGTGATAAGTATAAGCATTTATCATTACGCTTGGTGAACTGAATACTTATGATATTCACGTAGAAAAACTTCTATCACGTTCAGTAACAAATGTTTCACTATGAAGTGATGTGCGATAATATTCATTGCACTTTTTCTCGACAGTTGTTTAACTACTCACGTAATGTTGCCACTGTATTCATGTCTGTAAATAAATTTGTTCAAGTAGAATGATACATGCAATGTATTCATAACAAATTGAAATTACCCTCTCTTTCGAAAGATGATTGTGAGAAGCTAACTTTGTGATATCTAAAAATCATGTCTATTTATTTCACTAGGATTTTATTCACTGTAATGTAGACCATTTATCTGTACATCTGTCAACTAATGTGATTTGTGTCCTCTACTAGATACAAAGAGTTTTGCAAGTAAAATATTTGTAAAACCTAAGGATACGCAATCATGATTTTCTTGATTTGGGCATGACGATAATTTTTATGTCCATTGTATACAACGATTTTCTAAAGACAGTTCTAATATATATTAGGTTACTGACTCTTCAGCTAATAAATTATTGAGTCCACTTCCATTCCATCATTCCTCGCAGATTTCTAACATATCTACATCCTCATTTAGTGTGAAAACTAAACATTGCTGCCAGCTTCAAAGATGGTTCAAGCCCTACAAGTTCTTATGCTTTCTTTTAGTTTCATCAGAAGGAGACTTATCGGTAACTGGTCCCTCGAAGGTTTTCACTCTTTTAATGAGACGTTTTTCTAACTCAAGAGGAAGTTAATTTGCTTTTAGTGTATTGTGAAGTTTCCATATTTAAGGAAGTATTTTTTTAGTTTTTTCGGTTTCTCGTCTCACGTCTAACCTCCCTCCTTTTCAGGGCTTAGAATCAACTAGTAAACTTGGTAAGGTCCACAATACTGACTAATTATCATTACTGAATTCTGTTCAGACGCCCACTTTAACTCATCAGCAAAACTTTTAATTTAGAATAGTGTAGTTGCAAAGTGAAGGAAGTATCATTCGGTAGCTGAGTTTGTATCTTCTGATCAACATTTTTACGTTCAGAATATAGTCTCTTTGAATCGGTGGAAATCGTCCGACAGCAAATTCAGTAGCGTAAACTGAATTAATATTTTCGTCACATTCCTTATATTACAAAACTTTGTGGATGATCAACCTCTGAGAATAATTTTTTAAATACTATTATTTATACTTCCATATTAGTTTGTTTATTAGGTATATCACACAGTGAAACAGTATTATTTACTGGATGATGTTTCGAACAAAATTTATTGTTCATAATCATATCATATCATATCATATTATTTATAGTTTCGGAACTCAGGAATTCAAGTAACCGTCACATTATCAGAATTGAATATTTTTCCTGTTTTCGAGGATGTTACTTATGAAGGCGTTAACGATATTATTTTGAATGCACTACCTGGTACTTATGCATTTCGACAAAAGCAACCATTACTAAAGATTGCTAACAAATTTTGTAGGTAAGTTCTTGTACCATGTTGAATAAAATATTATTTTTTTTATTAAATTATGTTTGGTGAATAATCCCTTCAATATCTTGTAAGGAATTAAAGGCGCCACCATTACCTAATAGTGACAAACGAGTCAGTGGAATCTGAGCAACTTTATTATTCAGAGTTACTGTCTAACTTGCTTTCTTACTACTGTGTCAAATGTTAGAACTACGTGCATACCTTTCTACACCCACTTTCAATACATATCAAACCAAAATACAAAGTTGTTTTAATGAAAGATCCTGGTGATTAAGGTAATTTTTCCTGCTGATTATAATGCTGTTCACTAAAGTGGTTTATGGATGTGCCTTTTGTACACAGGGAATGTAATTCAGATGGAAACAAAAATGAATGTACAGCACTGTTCTTATTTTAAAACTACATCGCGATTGTTAAATACAGAAGAATATGAGTTTTTCAATTAATTACGAATTTTTAACAGGATTTCATCATGAGCTGACACCAGTTAAAGAACCACAGGAGAACCTGGGAGTACTGGACAGCTGTTTCGTCCTAGTTTAAGACTCTTATCAGTACGCAGATGATAAGTCCTCAACTAGGACAAAACAGCTGTCCAGTAATCCCGGTTTTTCCTGTGGTTCTGTAACCGGTGTCAGTCCACGATGAAATCCCCACAAATCAACACTTGAATATGAGTATTTTGACTGTCAGACATTCGAAAAATTGGCTAATAATATCACTGAGTTTTACCTCACATATTTTGATATGTTTTTAAATTTGTGGCTGGTACAGTTTGAAATTGTTTCAGTCATATTGAAAACATTTTGAGTGATTGAATCTGCCGTACTATTCTGAAATAATAACATAAAAATTCAAAACAGCCTCATATAATGCCTTCCTGCAGCTAGACAGTTTAAAAGTATGTCAGGTACGAATACGCACTGAGAATCAGTAAGAACATTCCGCACAAGGTGTGATCAAAACACCATCTACAAGAACCAGACACAGCAGTCATGTTTCGTGTAGACAGTTCAGTGTCAAGCAGTCACTCTATGGAGTAGCGTTGACTTTATGGAAACAAAATTGCTATTGTAAGACGACCCTTTTATCAACACCATTAGATAACAGTAAAGAAAAGCATCTAAGTTTGGAGTAAGCAAAAGCCAGGACAACCGATAAATCAGAAGGAGGTATGCAAACGTTAGAAGAATGATACAGAGCTCAGAGGAAAACAGGATAGTATTCTCAAAGTTAGTTGAAATACACACATTAGAATCGCTTCTAGGAACACATAGTTCATGCAGAGATTTTCAGATCGATTATTCTGATAAACTATGGATATTTTATTTTTGTCTACATCACTTTGGTTGATTTTCACAAGACGGGTGTGATTTTGTCAATCAGAGCATCTTCTCTACCTATTTTGAAACTACAACATATATTAAAAATTATGTAGATAAAAGAAAGGAAAATGTAGTATTACAGGGATACTCAAGTGGATGGACCTCTTGAAACCTCTCAACTCAGCCAGCCTCTGGGGGATGTTTCAGTCATGAAAACTAGAATTAATACTTTTTAATCAATTGCTGTTGATCTACGGATATGACATTGTCATTAAAATAAAGCTCCTGATTTGATTAGTTAATTTTCTAGTTAAATTGATGCTATATTGAATTACTGTTCTTTTTTTAATCACTATCATACAACTGTGGTGCATGCCTTACAATCTGTGATCTATGTCATACCACTACTTAAATATCTTTTTTAACGATAGAGTACTATCCTTATTTCCTTCATTCCAATTTTATCCAGTTTTTACTAGTTTCGATGAAATCCTAGTGAGTTGTCTCAGTTTTTTTCGTCAATGATTAGCTTGCCTAGCATACACAGGGGCATGTTTTGACTGAATACAAAATCTTTTACTACATTATGTTACATAATAATGGAAAATCTCTATTTAAATATAGGAAATCTAAAAATGTGTTATTGTCTTTGTTAAGAATACCTTGATAATTCATTTCTACTTTTCTAAGTGAATAGTTTACATGAAAATTAAATTCTTATACATAAGAAGGAAACAGAAAAACAAACTGCCAGTTTTTATAAGGACTTATAAAGTTGCAATGAAAATGAAACACAACAACAGAAAATTAGTATGATTGAAAAGATTATTCTCAACCTACAGACCTCCTTAACATTGCTAAGACTCTTTATAGACAAGTACAAACTTTTTTCCAAGAATATTCAGTCTTGGGAATCCTGGAAATGTTAGCTCATAAAAGGGACTAATGACTGTTTTTCTAAATACGCCAAAAGCATTTTAAAGATGATAATTTCATGTCAGGTTAATGGAGTTATACTTTCTAGTCGGGTCATGAAGAATCTGATCCTTTCCATAATGATGAATGTGTGTTCAATTTTCTTCACAGTAACTGGTAAATAACTTATAATATTATGTGGTTAATGTAGTTAGTTAATAGGAATAATATTCGAATGTATGCATGATTCTACAAGGAAGCTTTGAGGTAAACTGCTTTTGTTGTCACATGATATCTGTAAAGAAAATTAAGAAAGTTTGAACGTGTCTTCAAAAGCATAAAATTCATCCTAATAATATTTTGTCTTTGAAATGCAAATATTTTTTCATGTATAAACCAAAGAGAAATAGATATCACATGGAGAACTGTATGTTTTCAAATGGCGTAGACTGGAAGTTTGAAAAGTTGGAATCATAAACACCTAAGAACTCACGGATGAAATGAGTTCAATCTCTGGCTAATGAAGCACACTCATTTAAAAAAGAACTCATTTCTAATTCCAGGATTTCATCTGAAACCGACGTCGTTTAGACAACTATTGGAAAACCTAGGAGTACTCAACAGCTGTTTGGTCGTAGTTTGGAAGTCTTCACAATGCGCAACTACCGGGGGCTCAAACACAGAACCTTCTGGAAGGTCCTGAAACCTAACAAATCCTTGCAAATCAACAGCTGAATATCAGTTTGATGCTCACTAGTGACTGCTCCTATTCAGGGTTCTAGTGAAAAGTCGTGACCAGTGGTGTTGACCCTGTCGGACGTCCGCTCATGGTCGCGCCATATCGTGAATTAGCAGAAGTTGGAATTCATGGGCTGGTTACTGGATTGGATGCCAGTGGTTCAATGGTCTACGAGCTCGCCTTGTAACCTGAAGGTGCTGGGTTCGAATCCTGATGGCGGGTGCGTGCATATGAGGATTCCTAAACTAGGCCGGACGAAACAGCTGTCCAGTACTTCCAGGTTTTCCAGAGGTTCTCTAACCGACGTCATCCCATGAGGAAATCCCGTAACCAATCAAATCCATGCAATATAACCCTTGAATAACCCTTTTAATTATTTGAGGGCTTCAGGATTAGTAAAAATACTGAAGAATGAAACATTACTGCAATTAGCTGAACTCATGCTTGATATAAGGATTAGGATGGTCTCATATTTTTGTTGGAAAATTTACTAGATAACCCCCTGAACATTTTGGCATATTCATAAACGTCAGGTTACATAAACTCAGAAGACGTCTTATCTACAGTTCGCCTAATTGAATTATGTTATTATTAACCAAACCAGCTTATTTCTACATCCTTTATACTACGTTTACTGTATGAAATGACACCAAGTACCGGAGAAAATAGATGTAACGACCTGTCCTGTGTTGATGATTAGTTTTGCTGTAATACATTATTGTGCCATATACCACAGCCTGCACATGTGATTCAGTAATATTAAGTTTAATCTCGTGGATTTTATGCTGACAGAATAAGCTTATTGATTTTCCAAACTATTTTAGCTGATTCAAAACTATGCATATTATCAAACTGCTAGGTAAAATAATAATACTGGAATAAGTGGAGTCCATTCGAAGAATGTCTTCTGACTTACTAGTTGTACCGACCAAATTTATTCAGTTTTGGTCTGAATGCATGAAACCAATCTCTGTGTTCTACTGTATAGCCGACAAAGCTTCACTGAGACACATGCTATCACGAAAAGTTCCAAAGACATGAAAAAGACGATTATTCTTCAATATTTTATATTAATTATTAAATTACTAAATAATGATGACATCAAAACTCAAAATTACCCCAACAGTACCCTGAGGCAGCCATATAGGCAATGTGGATTTCGAAATACAATACAGGTACTGTGAGACAAAATTAATTAACCAAGGTTTGACTGTAAAAGGTACTTTGGAATTGAGGAGAATATTCTCAAGGAGGCAGGATCAAAAGCTCCGTCAACAGTAATCACACAACAACGCTTTCCTCGGACAGTTTTGGGTCAGAACCACCTTTATTCATTCAAACAAACTCATATCGCTAAACGACACACTGTCAATGTACACAACCAAAAAAGTGTTACAGTTGAAGATTACACAAGTACAGAGGCAAATAATAAAGGTTAATTGCAAATGTTAAATTGATGATACGCAGTCTAGGGGAAAAACGTATAATACTTACAAAGTTAGTTGAAACGTTTACATAAGTATAACTGTTATAAATAGTTCGTCCGGGAGGGACATCTCAAATATTAGTTTACTAATCGGTCCTAAGAGTGGAAAAAGACAGATGATTTAATGTGGGGCCAGCTGTCCTGCCACAGAAACTTCGGTACATAAAAAATATTTTTTTAAATAAGCTAAAATTTAATATAAGAATAAAACTTGGGCACTGTGGTAGAGTGTAATTCCATTATGGGTAAATTTTATTTTGATAGAGTCTCACAGTGTTATACAGTAATATTTACTGATGACGTTTCGAGCACAATTTATTGCTCATAATCATATCAAGTTAATCACACGACTTCCTAAATTCATTTATATAGTTCCATTGTTTTTCACTTGATTTTCACTTGATTTGATTGGTAGTATTATTTTCCATATTTCAGGGATGAGTGATGATTCATTCCTATTGCATGTGTTGGATGTAGATTCGATGAACAAAGATTCAGTAATCAACCTCTCTTTCCACCTACC